CCCCAAAACCCCAAAACCCCAAAACCCCAAAACCCCAAAACCCCAAAACCCCTCTTTTTGATCCAATTATTGAACATGTCATAAATCCAATGGATCTAGAAACATTCCAGGGATATCTCTTTTCTGAACATACTACTTTTTCAAACCGAAGTCTAATTTTCCAGTTATGATCAATTATGTTAATGCCTATCTTATCGATCTCTTCTTGAATTCAACTATAGAAGGAATCTTTTCAGCATCAATAGCATCTGGACCCTGAATATAATTGGTAATATGGCCACTAGTATCTTCTGGAGGAAGCTCTCCTGTTTGGATAATATGATCCCACCATCCAAACAATTTAGTCTGGAGGATCATGTTAAACCAAGGAGTGATCTCACTCTCTCCAGTGTTTACTTCTGTCTCAAGGAAGTCAAGGATGTTCTCTCTCGTCACAAACTCAGTATGGCTAATTTCGTTTTCATTAGCTTTGAAGTAAAATTCATCAGAATGTTCTAAATCATACTATTAGAATGCTCCAAAGCTACAACCAAAGAGTGTCTGTAACAAGATAAAACCCACAGTTCTTATAGAGACTTACTTTTAGCAAACAAAATAAAATCTAGCTCATACTCCGCCCATTTTTCGTCAGTATTTGCTCTATATAGAATTTTGGAAACCATGTTGAGATCCTCTTCAAAGAGGTTCTTCAGTCCCAGTTCATAATCCATTCTTCGAACAGTTGCAGTTTTAACTCCTTGGAATGGAATTGGGCCATCAGCCATTTCCTCTTTTACATACAAAGGATGAGAACAACAAGTATTAGTCCACATGTTTGGAAACGTAATCTTATGGCTTGATCTCCTCTGCAACAATAGCTCATTCTTTTCATTGAACAAGAAACAACTGAAAGCTCTGTGAGGCAAAGAATTCTCTTTGTCTAAAAATGATCGGAGATGTCCTTCCTTTTTAGAGCATTTTCCTACTACGTTGTCTTGTTCATCACAAACAATCAAGTTCTCTTTCATGAGCTCAACTTGGGTTGCATCATATCCTTCTAAAGCTTCTGAGCTCATTGCTCTTTGCATTTGTTGGACTATACACAATCAGACTTCCTTGAGGCCCCAAGAAATCAATGAATCTCAAAAACAGGCACTGAGAATTCACTAACCAATTTTTGATCACACCAAAATATCCCAGCATGAAATTTCAAAAATTTCCTTGTAAGAATTTCTAAGGAAGACAAGAAGTGGAGGACTCAATAATTAAATGAAATTTTTGTTCAAACATCTATTTTAGAACAGCTTTGACACTCAGCTTCCTTCCAGCCCAGCACCAGTACCAGGAAGTATTGATCCAAAAGCCACGTCTAGACCCCATTCTGTTGAAATCAGCACCTAAGCTCCCTTACCTAACCCAGCTCTGTGCATGGTCTGTCCCAACTTTTGGGGTCTTCCGAAAGTGTTCTTCGCGCTTGTAAATAAGGCCATTGTTTAATACGACAAAGAGGTTGGAACAAAGGTTTAGGAATATTTATTCTAACTTTACAATAAATAACTCTCAAATAGGGGTTTTGGGGTTTTGGGGTTTTGGGGTTTTGGGG